GACGAAAGAACCTTCCCTGATACAAAGATCGAACCCTCAATTGAAGAGCTACCTAATTATTTTGTTATTAACGACGACATTTTCGAATTATCATTATTCACAGAACTGTGCAATTTAGTATCGGAAATAGAGGAGGAAATCTCCCAGGATCTAATAATATTCTTAGAAGAACAGTGTCCGGATATCTCATTTAAAATCGATCAATATGCTAGTTATTTAAATTTTTGAATCATTTCTCAAATGTCATCAGAATTTACTATTGAAGAAAATCGGAAATTAATTAACGAAGAAATTCATACAATAATAAGTATAATTATCGCCCGTCGCCTTCTAAAACAGACGTTTTAGAGGGAAACATCGATTTAGACCAATTTCTCGTCTGTTTAGATAACATTCCAGATCCATTGCACACGATAAACGCGAGACTTCGCGTAATTTAAATAATTGTTTAATAATAGGACCCTATGAGGGATTCTCAAGACCTTAAATTTGAGAGTTATATTATATTTTCGCTATTGAATTTATTAATTAACAACTATTTAAATGGAAAAATTACAGTCAATTAATTGATAAATTCATTAGATAGTTTAGAAAGAATTGCTAGTAGAAATCCCTTTTTCACTAGTAACTAGAATTCCCCATCCCCAACGTCCCAACACTCGTTCCCTAGTTCCACAGTATAGTCCGTGCTCTCGGCGTCCCTGAGGTATAGCCGGTGTAAGCAGGTTGCCTCATAAAAAATAGAGAGCGCTCCATTCTTTCTAGCCTAGGAATAAAGAGAGTAGAAAGGTCACTAGGACGTGACAACATCAAGCACTTGATACGCGTATCAAATAGTAAATTACTAGTAAATTGGTTCAGTCATTGGCTGACCAGAGGGTAGATTGTGTATCTTGGGTGAGTTGCTCACGAGGTGAAAATTACAAAAGTGAGGAAATTTACTAGAGTACCCACGGTATCATTTGTCGATATCTAGTAAATCTTTTTATTTTTGTAATTTTCATCTCGTAAGCAAACTCACTCAAGATACACAATCGACCTCCAGTTCAAATACACTAATTGATACGCGTATCAAATGCTTCATGTAAACTAAGCCAATATATTTACGTATGATACGCGATTAACAGATTATGTCTTCTATTCCGTTTCCGGTCCGTTCCGTAAAATGTTTGCCATGGGGAACCCATACTACAAAAAACGGAATGAAATTGAACGGAATCAATCTGATTGGTTAGTCTTCTATCTAGTTTTATTTCCGTTACCGTTCCGTTCCGCTATTTCTTCCTTCATCGGGATGCATTCTAGCACTTCGTACAACACACATCGACATACAACACACATAACTTTGTGGCCTCAAAATGGCTGTTCATGCGAGGACCTTCCTTCCCCTCCCATCGTTCATCTACAGACTTTGGTTGGATCCACAAATAATATATAAAAATACATTATGTACTATATATAATAATATTTAAATATATATTTATATATACAAATAAATATATATAATATACATATATATTTTATATTTTAATCATATATATATATATATATATATATATATGGGCTGTCCGGTAATTGTCGCCTTAATCGTCGAGATAGATAAAGCGAGTTAAACCGAATAGGAAAGTCCTCTACCGTTTTGCAATTTTCGCAATAATTATTGAGTTATTAAATAAAAAAGATCAGCCAATCCACGCGAATAGAAGCGCGCGACGAGAAGAAACGTCCCACATCACATCGAAATCTTGTAGAAGTCTAAAAGATGTCTTATTAAAGAAATCTTTAAGACATTTCTAAAAGATGTCTTCTAGATATCTTTTAGATGTCTAAAAAGATTTTGATGAAGATGTCTTTGTAGAATTTCTAAAAGATATCTATTATACATCTTAAAGATATCTCAAACATTAAAATTTTTAAAATGAATATATATATATATATATTTTTTTACAATTTAATTTTAAAACAAGTGTTATATATGTAACATATATTACATAATTTAAATCAACCGGGGTTACATTTCTATTATAAAGCATATATATTTTTCGACTCTAGAGGTTCGCATCTAACCCAACCTCTTTTTATTTCTCACTAGCAGAAAACATACACGATATCTATATAGCTTTCCGATTCACGCATGATGCGTATGAATGAATGACAAAAGTGTTAGGGTGCCGTCACATGAGGCGTAACTTGCGTACGCGTAACTTGCGGTAACTTACGCCGATCAATCACATCGTCTCATTTCAGTATCAGCTTTTGTCTAGTTATTTTATGCTTTGTACGCTGTTATCGTTACGCCGAATTCAATTTCTGGTGGAAGAAACGCTGATGCGTATTTGTAAAAAAAAAAATACAACTCTATTTGTGCGTTCTTCTAAGACTAAAGACAAAGAAGAAGTTAATTTTAATCCATCTATACCTATACATTAATAAGATAAACAAGAATAATCAAATAAGGGTAAGTTAACAAAATCTAATTTATTATATAAGCTTTAATAGCGTTCGATTAAAAACAGTCTACTGCTCACGACATGTGATACAAAATTTCAAGTTTAAATTGTATATTATAGTAGGTCTTCGTACTTTTTGCATTTGAAATCTGTTTTCTCTTTCTCTAATATTTAACATATATTGATTTCTTGCTTTACATGCATAAATTTTTGAGAATTTTGAGCAATATGAACATCATAATGCATTATTTTCTACATTGCATGTTTAAATCTTTTCAACACAAATGCGGGTATTGTGGATGGTTGTTCCAATTTTCTACTAATTTTGTCGAACATGAATGCTTCAAGCATTATTTATTAGACAAAAAGGACATCTGCATTAATCTTTTTTATGGGACCTAGGAGATTAAATTTAATATGATTATTAGAAATACAATAGATTATTACCGTAAAAATGCTGCAAAATACTAAGCTATCCTGCATCGATTACTTCTCGTCTTCTATATAGGTTTGTTCTTTATTGCCGAACTTTCTGCACTAGTGTACACTAGTGACACCGAAGCGTTCTGTATTGCAGTGCAACGTAGAACAAACCCGTTCTTTATCGCAGTGTAATCAAGTTCAGTGCAATACCCACACAACACATGGACGTAATTACAACATAATTTGGATGTCCGAAGCGAGCACCAAGGACATCCGATGGACGTCCCGTGTACATCCTGTGGATGTATTAAGGATGTCCTATGTTCCGCCTAACAACATCCATAGGCTATAAATGGGACGTCCAGCGGATATCCTTAGTGCTTACTACGGACATCCAAAGTATGTAATTATGTGGATATAATGACTGCATTCAACAGAAAAAGAGCACAATGGCCAGTATTCATAGTCAGATCTTATATTTAAGATCGTCTTAAGATCTCGTTCAACCAATCAAATGACGTTATACGGCTATTTGATTGGTTAAACGAGATCTTAAGACGATCTTAAATATAAGATCTGACTATGAATACCGGCCAATGAGTGCTTATTAATTCTTTAATGTGATTAGTTTCTATGTTTAGATCCAACGAAGAACTAAAGGAAATAATCACATTAAAGAATCAACAGTCGCCGCATGAGCTGCTTTTTCTGCTGAACGCAACAAATGTTTCAATAATGCTCATTGAAAACTATTAAGACCATATTATATATTTAGATAGTTAGAATTTATTTAAATCAATAAAATACATGTATATAATTTTTGCAATATTATCTTAAGTATACTACTTTCAGCATTATAACCAGTAGCTCATCAAAATTATCAATATGTTTATTTATAAAATTTATGTTAGTGTAACAAAAACAAAATAATATATTACTGACGTGCTATTTTTTATATGTTCACGCAGTTTACTTAGTATAAAAAAATTAAAATAAAAACTCCAATTAAAGTGTTCAAAGTTAACGTATACAATTATGTGTAAATTTTTATAAACTTTCAGTGTTTTTTGTCAATTTAAATTCCTTTATCATTTCTAGAGTAGTAAAATATGAAAATAACCCATGCATTACTGTTTTCAGAATTCTAGAGTACGTTATATAGTTCAATTTTTACATCTATGAAAATTTTATCATAGAAAATTTTTAATCAACACAAACTGTAAAATCTGAGGTTATGATTGTTGTCATTCAGTAGTATTTTGGCGGTGCGTCACTGACTTACACAGAATCCGGTATTATTGATATTTTCACTAAGACTTTTCTATATATTCTCTGCAATAAATATCTCTTTGTTCAATAACACGAGGTATGAGAGATACGAGCGGCACACGAGAGCACGAGCACGAAACATGTTGTGACACGTGAAAACCCGGCCGACCAGGACATGCGCAGCGCATTGCGCACTAGCGCCTAAAATTATCAGGATTAAAAGTCACTCTAAAAAAAATTGTAAAAAATAAAAATTATTGTAAGAAAATTATAATTAATAATAATAATAGAATTAGAATCTTCAGCTCAGACGTCCTCACAGAACTAAACGGAGGATGTCTACAGGACATAAAATAAACGTCTTATTTTGGATATAAAAAGACACAACCAAAATTTATATGTATTAAACAAATGTTATCGATAAAAATTAAGTTTTCAACTACAGGGTATACATATACTCGATATATTGTAAGATGTCCGGAATATGTCTTTTTAAAGTCCTACAACTGTCCATCGCAGTTGAAATTTTAACAGGACGTCCGACTAACGTACTTTGGACGTCCCACAAATGGGGACATGTGAGGACATATATCGGACGTCCGAATAACGTACTTTGGACGTCCCACGAATGGGGGACATGTGAGGACATATATTGGACGTCCAAAGGACGTACATGTGTTGTGTGGGATAGTTCAGTGTACTCGCTGCCCTAGGTCTGAAGCAGGGTCAGGCAGTGCAGTGCAAGGACCGAGTAAGTAAAAATGGCCGAAAACATAAATATAAATAAAGTATAATCACAACAAATTATAAATATTAAATAAACTTATTAAATATTTAAAAAATGGGAATAATAATCTATTTAAGTAGTTAGGTAGCTAAACAGCTAGGTTTATTTATTGTTTGTAAATTGGATGTAACATGTGTAACTCATAAAAATCTACAAATAAAAAATTATACTTACTAGGTTAGTTTACATTAGATTAAATTAATTTAAAAAAAAAATTAATTTTTTATAATATAATAATATATTGCATATAAAATACATACCATCGTCATCGTTACGCATAATAGGTTGAAATGGAAACAACATATTATTTTCTTCATCATCAGAAGAATCAAATAAATCATTTAAGATCATCGCCATGTTGATTATTACACTGACGCGTTCTTTATACTTGCTCACAAATAACATGTCCTGCTTGCACTAGTTCCGTTCAGTGCAGTGCAGTATGAACTCAGTGTAGCAATAAAGAACAAACCTTATATATTTCGTTTATCTTTTATCTTTTATCGTTTATCGTTTATCTTTTATCTTGTCACTTTGCTAGCCATTTTAAATGTGCGCGTTTTACGGAACTCAAAGCATCGGTTTCCCATGAAGCGTATTATTTGGGACGCGTAGGTTACGAAAACCAATCACAAGTCCTATTTAGCATTTCTGTTAAAGCATACAACGGAAACTCTAATCTACGATTAATTGTATTAGTTACACGTTCTGCGCAATACGTTCTATGTGAATGCCGTCCTTCAGAATAGCGTAACCACGGCGTATCTTTTATTAAATCACTAGTATAAGAGTTTTAACAAGGCTCTGTAATATAAATATAAATTTAACGTATAAGACGGGCAACAAGAGCCAAATCGCGGATGACAATGCGTTATCCTAACGAAACTAAATAATTTTCCGTTAGAATTAAATACCGGTGCACAAGGCACCAAATTTTTACTTGGACACGGCCAAGATTTTAAATATGAAATAATCTCATATTTGAGATTTAATTTCAATACCCCCTTTTAACCCCCCTACGGAAAATAAATAAATGAATGCAAGAGAAAAATATAGATCCGAAAATCGCTGAATCGGGAATCGAACCCGAGACCTTTCGCTTGCCGGGCGACTGCTCTTCCAGCTGAGCTATTCAGATCCTTTCGATTCTATATTTTCTCTTGCATTCATTTATTTATTTTCCGTAGGGGGGTTAAAAGGGGGTATTGAAATTAAATCTCAAATATGAGATTATTTCATATTTAAAATCTTGGCCGTGTCCAAGTAAAAATTTGGTGCCTTGTGCACCGGTATTTAATTCTAACGGAAAATTATTTAGTTTCGTTAGGATAACGCATTGTCATCCGCGATTTGGCTCTTGTTGTCCGTCTTATACGTTAAATTTATATTTATATTACAGAGCCTTGTTAAACTCTTATATTTGATACACGCTGGTTTAAAAAATGCGTTTGTTTACCAACATTAATATATATAACAGAGAAAAGTATAGAATCGAAAGGATCTGAATAGCTCAGCTGGAGAGCAGTCGCCCGGCAAGCGAAAGGTCTCGGGTTCGATTCCCGATTCAGCGATTTTCGGATCTATATTTTTCTCTTGCATTTCATTTATTTATTTTCGTAGGGGGGTTAAAAGGGGGTATTGAAATTAAATCTCAAATATGAGATTATTTCATATTTAAAATCTTGGCCGTGTCCAAGTAAAAATTTGGTGCCTTGTGCACCGGTATTTAATTCTAACGGAAAATTATTTAGTTTCGTTAGGATAACGCATTGTCATCCGCGATTTGGCTCTTGTTGCCCGTCTTATACGTTAAATCACTAGATTACACTAGAATACGCAGGTTACGCTTAACGCAAGTTACGCCTCATGTGACGGCACCCTAACCCCGGTTGATTTAAATTATGTAATATATGTTACATATATATTATAACTTTTGCTTTAAAATTAAATTGTAAAAAAATATATATATATATATTTCTTAAAATATTCATTTTCCGATAGTCTTATTTTACATGCACCGACCAATCAGGGCAAAGTCCAAGCATGATCCAGCTAGTCAAGACAAGATCCGGACACGATCCAGCCAGTCAAAACAAGATACAAACACGATCCATCCAGTAAAGACAAGATACGAACACGATCCAGCCAGTCAAGGCAAGATACGAACACGGATCCAGCCAGTCAAGGCAAGATACGAACACGATCCAGCCAGTTAAGGCAAGATACGAACATGATCCAGCCAGTCAAAGCAAGATCGTGATTGTTCTGTCAACTAAAGTAAGATCAAGAAGAATCCTGCCACCGAAGGCAAAATCGAGAATGATCCAGTCAAAAAAATTTATCGAATCAATTGTTCGAAGTTGTCTCCATTGGCTTGGATACATAATGTCAATCTATCTTGGAAATGTCTTACTGTCTTGAGTAACATATCGCGCGTTATCCTTCTGCAAGCTTCTCGTATCCTTTCTATCATATTTTCTCTCGTTGTAGGCGTTTGCTCATACACGACATTTTTCAGATATCCTCATAAGAAAAAGTCGGGCGACGTCAAATCAGGAGATCGTGGAGGCCACGCGACGGATGCATCTTGTCCAATCCATCTGCCATTATACGTTTCATTCAGGTAATCTCTCACACATCTTGTATAGTGAGGTGGTGCGCCATCGAGTTGTATCCATAACCTCTGGCGTGTTTGCAGGTCAACGTTTTCAAATAATTGTGGTAAGTCATCTCTAAGAAATGCCAAAAAGTTTTCCCCGTTGATATTTCCGTCAAAGAAATAGGGACAATCAAATACCCATTCACAATCCCGCACCAAACATTAACACTCCAACGATTCTGATTATCTATTGGTCTATGCCAATGGGGATTAACATAGTAGTATAGTGGGCACTATGGCCCGTCATAACAAACCCCCACCACCGACCCGTCTGGCGCCGAGTCTTATCTTATCTTTCCCCCACCACCGGCGTCTGGTTTTTCCGAGTGTGGGTGTAGGGGGAGAGGGTGTTGGGAAAAAAAAATGGCGACTGGCCCCGAAAGGTGGGGATGAGAATTTTTTTATTTTTTTATTTTTTCTGATTTCCTCTGGATTTGAACCTGGGGCCTTCGTGTTTCCGAGCAGGGTCCTAGTATGTTGAGCTAAACGAGATCTTACTAGTCTAAGGATTAGATGAGGTATTTAAGCTAAAGTTGCGTAGGGTACGGTATGGGGGTACGGGTATACGTATGGCAAGGATAGCTCGTCGAATCAAATGGTCGATATTGGACGGGGTGGGGTAAAAACAGTTAGGGTATACGTATGGCAAGGATAGCTCGTCGAATCAAATGGTCGATATTAGACGGGGTGGGGTAAAAACATTTTGACCAAGAAAAGCGTCATGCGGTCGACCGGGGATCGGTGGCAGGTAGTAACTGACAATGCCGTAGGGTAATAAAAAAAGAACACGCAAATATTTGTACTGGCGAGCATTCCGACTCGTGTCACGATAAAAAAATAATGCATCATCGTAGATTAGAAAGAATGCTTATTGTTGAAAAGATGTCGGATAAAATTTTATTTTAAAATAACTCGTTGCTTAATGAAGGTAAACAGAAACATGGATGTTGAGGAAATTTCTGGAAAGAGGAAGTGAAAGAAAATTGAACAATGGTTTTAAAAGTACAAATATGATTTATATTTAAAATATTTTTACAGAATAAAATTATTCACAAACATTTCAAGAAAATATTCGTCGAATAATTATTAAAATTTACGTTTTGATATAATTGTATGTACAATTTGTTCGAAATAAAGTGAAATTATTTCTAAAAATGTTATCTCAAAGTATACATCGAGAAATGTTAAATCTTTCAGTTGGGTACGTACATTACGTTCTATTTCCTTACTGTTACCTCTGATCGTGAGTTTCACGATACTGTTATTAATGCTACCGTTGACAGGAAGATTTAACTGTATTTCGTTAATTAAATATCGAGCACATTCGTTGACATTAGTTGAAATAAAATTTAGACGATTTAAATTAGCGTTCACACAATCAACTATATTTTCTACACCTTGAAAAGTCGTTCTCTGCATGACTATCGCAATGTTGTAAGTTTTACGTTTCTTCGCCTTCGGTCCGTTTTCGTTCGTATCCTCCACAGTCTCGGAAGAAAGATCTTCTTGCTCGTTTTCACGATATGTTATTAGTATGGCTCTAGCACCATATGCGGTAGTGAAATTTACAATTATCTTGTTAAAGATGATCGAGCTCAAATTAATTTTATCACCGTTTAAGTAGCTCGACATCGTTTTCATGTTTTCTTGAAATTTTTGCCACGATTCCATGTCGAAGCAAATCCCTACAGCTCCGTGAGATGTTAATTTAACAACAGGCAGAAAATCCAGTTCGACGTTGTCTTCCGTCATAAGACCCACTTGAATTTTCTTCGTGTAGGATGAATTCAATCCGTATGTTGTTGACAGCAACATACGTGGTTGTTGCTCGATTTTCTTAAGATTGTTCATGGTAGTTGCTACCGCGTAGAAAATCAAAGATATAATAATCAAAGACACGGAAAAATCGAAAAATCGAGAACTTTTTACTAACAAACTTTTTTACTAACGAACTTGAAAGTCCGGACGATGAAAGACGAGTGAGCGAAGATTTTCAAGAAAATTTATAAGAAGGAAGATAAAATAGAAAAGTGGTAGGGAGAAAATGTATGCGTAGATAAATAAAAATTATGAGGAAGGGATTTTTTAAACAATATAAATAATATAATTTTTAATGTGGAAGGGGAATTTTTTAAACAATAAAGCGATAGGGAGAAAATGCATGCGTAGTATAATAAAAATTATGTGGGAGGGGAATTTTTTAAACAATATAAACGATATAATTATTAATGTGGAAGGGAAATTTTTTAAACAATATAAATGATATAATTTTAAATCTGACTTCAGAGAAAATATAAAATTCCTATCGCTATCGAGAAAAGATACTTGAAAATTCCTCATCTTGATTTCTATAAACTTTTTGTAACTAAGTAAATAACGTCCTAGATTAAATATTTTTTGTATCTAAGTAAATATTACCATATATATATAAAACATGGGTAAAAATACACGGCTATGAGAAAAAAAGATAAAAAAAAAGATAAAAAAAGATAAAATAAAATCGAGAAAAGATACCTGAAAATTCCTCATCTTGATTTCTATAAACTTTTCGTAATTAAGTAAATATCGCCCTAGATTAAATATTTTCTGTATCTAAGTAAAGATTACCATATATATATATATATATAAAACATGGGTAAGAATACACGTCTATGAGAAAAAAGATAAAAAAGATAAAATAAATCGAAAAAGTTACCTGAAAATCCCCCATTTTGATTTCCATAAACGTATAAATACGGCTCTCGGAGTTAAGTTAGCTAGCTACATTTTTGAATTTCGTCTCTCGCGTACTCACGTATTCGACGCAA